ATTAGTATATTAGTATATCGCTATTAACCTACTTCGCGTTTAATTTTCATTGATGTTAAGCCTAAAAAAATTTTTTAAAATAATAATCATTGCTATTGTATCGTTAAAAATTAGAAAATTAAGCCTCGTTTAAATACTGGCTCCCTTTCATGGTCGAATGAGTGTTGCCAGCTAAAACATGTAAAAATAATATTAAAGTAGCCAAGACATAGCCAAATATTGTAGCGCCACATCACTAGCGGACATTTGAAATTTGCCGACTTGCATGGTCAGTTAACCGAGGTGTCGGTTAATCGGGGGTCGGATAATCGAGGCTGTACTGTAATTAATTTGAATTCAAAAATGGCAACAATTAGCAGCATTTCTTTTGAATGTTGTTAATTGATAGATAGATAAATAAAGATATCAATTTCTTAGTTTTGAGTAATTTGTTAGTTGAATGCAAGAGATAAGAAAATTTTGAGGGTTGCAAGCAATGTTGTGACATTGGCATTGAAAATTGCAAACAAATTAGTCATTCTTGTACCATTCAAGAAGTGATAAAATCATGATAACTCGAAAGTTGAAAACCTCCCTTAACTAAAAAACAAAACTGGAAGATTGACTAATGCACAAAATCACATGTCCTGGTATATGGAATGGCAACAGTGATTTTTTTCCAGACATAAAGTCCAACTTGGACCATTTGGATGGTGTGAACTATTATTTTCATAATTTGTGCTGAGAGAGCGAGAGAGAATTTTATCTCAAAAACAGATGGGTAGTAGTAGTACCATTATGGTATAATTTCTTGCAAGAGAAAGTTAACTATTGCATTTGTAAACAGACAAACAGATTCAAAACAGCATCAGGAGCCAATTGAAAATATGCTACTTCCAAATATATAAAAATTAGCAGAAGAAAGATTTATTTAATGCAAATTTTCGTCTGTCTGTTCGTCTCACACTATAAAAAAAATCAATTTCAGCAAAAACCCGATCGAGAATATCCTGGGTGTGCTCGCAAAGAACTGAACATGCTGACAGCAAACAATACAGTTCAGTAAAATACTTAAAAGTTGCAATCGAGAAAGCATGGCATGTTATACAACTGACACGCTTAAGCCAGACTTCATTTTTGAGATTATTCAAAATGTAGAAGGCCCACAAGATTTTAGATCTAGTATTTGCAATTACTTTTTCAGTTGTCTTTAAAGTTTTGTCAACTCAAATTAGCTGGTTTCCTACTTTTTGAAATATCTCAACATTATTCTTTCATTGTATAAACCTATTGTTTTACTTTTTTAAAACATGAACACGATTAAACAAATAATTCTAATAAAGTTCATTGTTTAGGTTTACTTGTTGCTTGTCTTTTAAAGTTTTGTTTGCCATTGTATTGTTTTTTTTCAATAACAATCTTATTATAAAATTTATAATAAAATGTTTGATAACTATCCTCCAATATAGAATCTGTCCATTATTAAAATTCTGCAAAAGTATTTATTAAATAACTCTTCACTATCTGTTTTTAAAATATATAGTCAGTTCAAAAAGTTTAGAATAATATGAAATAAATTAATAAATATTGTCCAACTATAAGTAATAGTGCTTGTAATTTGCTGCAATTATTTGAATTATATCACAGGTAATGTTGTATCAATTACAATCAAGCATTTGACACAAGCAGAGTAAACACCATGGGCAAGAAAGAAAGGACAATTAAGCCCTGATCAAAAATAAAATTATCAATTTACACACAGAAAATATTAAGCGACAAGAAATAGCAAAGAAAGCAAATTGTATGCAGTCTAAAGTGTAAAAAACAATTAAAAAATTTAACAAAACTAGAAGTTTAAATGTCAATAAACACTCCGGCTGTCAGAAATTTACTTTGGAAATTGGCACTTAGAAAAATCATAATAAAATACATGTACAAGCCTGCAACAGACATCACGAGAATTGAAATCAGTGATTGGTTTACAATTATTCGAAGGAGATGGGGAATAAAGTAGTCAAACCGGAAAAGAAACTCTTCCAAACAAAAATTCAAAAGAAAAAAAAAACTAACTTGCACTAAAAAATACAATTTACACCCAAACAATGGCAAAAAAGTCATTTTTAGCAACAAAAGTATATATTTTGTGTTTATTTAAATTATGGAGAAAAAGTTTGACACTTGAAATGTGAAACTGACAATCTGGATTGTTTACGAGTCATTAAATTTTCCACTAAAGTTACAGCATGGGGTTTGCTTGTCTGTAATGGACTTGGCAAATTGTAATTTCTTAACAAGACAGTAAATGGTAATATTTTAGAATATTTCCTCATCCAAACAATGGAAGTGTTTTCAAGGTGACAATATAATCTTTTGACACGACGGAGTTATAAGTCATAAATGCAAAAAGCCAATGAAGGTTTACACATAGAAGAATACAGCTCTGACTGACCCAGAAACTCACCAGATTTGTCCCCAATTGAAAATATTTGGTCCATTTGTAAAAAAAAATAACTGCAAGAATCTAACTCAACCAATAAATAAGAATTAAAAGAAAAACATAGAAAAAGTTGGTCTGAAATTAATCTTAAATAATGTTGATCACTTATTGATAGTATGCCAAAAAGAATAAAATCTATAATTCATAATAAAGAGAGTTAAACAAGTATTAGAATAAAATATTCTATACTTTAACACAATTTCAAATATTCTAAACTTTTTATCATCATTCACTTAAAAGATCATAAATTTTTCTTAACACTTTATTTAGAAATTTTTTTGGGTGAAAATACAGCTAAAAGACCGGGCGAAATATCCGCTTATATAATTTTTTTTTTATTTCACCTAGTTATTGTCGTTTGGGATTCGGCACATTGTGATGTAGTTAAATTATTCTAAACTTTTCAAACCGACCATATGGTTTCTTTTTATAATATATCTAATAAAGCATAAGAGCAAGAGTATTGCAATGTATGGCTTAAGAGGTTCGAATATAAGTGGACTCCCAATTTTGGAGTCCTTACTTTTTGAAAATTAGGACCCGAATACAAATTGACCTTTTGTTATTTATTTTATTTGTATTTAAAATGTTTGGAAAGTTGTTGAGATGACTCTTCATTACTTTTGTTTTCGTCATTCCATCACGTTGTGGATTTTGGCCTCCTCAAACAGTATATCATCCTGTGTTCTGTTTGAGTTGTCAGTAATGTGATGTGTGTGATCTTAGTCATTGCTTTCTCCAAAAATGTTCCTAAAAGTTACACAGTGTAAATGAAAAATGCTGACATATCTTGTTGATTGGTCACTGAGCTCACACGTCTCAGAGACGACAAACTTGACAAATAGTTTTCCTAAACAAACTTGGCAACTTACTTGATTAGACATTGATGCGTTTCTGTCGATGACTTTAGAAAAACACTCGACATTTCTGGAAGCCCTTTATAATTGTATCTTCACTGATAATCTTTCATAATTCTATTGTTCTAACTTTTACAAGAACATGTAAATAAGTAGTAGTAAAAATTCTATAAGTGTGCCACTGATTATGAAAATTAGTCACAATCAATTCCATTTCCTCTTACATATTTTCTCTGAATAAATTTTTTTTAATGCCAAACACTAGTACTGTGAGCCTTTGTATGCATGCATACTCAAAATAAGGTATATGGTATATAAAATTTTAAACAGGTAATCTAAATTCAATAATTGATCGATATTTAATAAAGACCACATAATTGTTTACATATATAGAAAAACTGTACAAATTAATTTACAAATTAAGCAATATTTGTTTCAATCATAATATTCTTCTTCTCCTCCGGAATAATAAAGTTCTTCTCCTATATAAAACAAAAAGTTCTTATGTAACTTAAATAAAATAAACTTATTAAATGATATATTAACCATTTGACAAATATCTGATTCATTCAATTGCAGAATTCTCTAACTGAACCTAAAACATATAGAAGAATATTTTTTTGTTCAATATCCTTCTATACCAAACTGTTCCTTTAAAATCTAGCTTTGTTTTGAACTATTTAAGTGCATAGTTTCATTCTGGTATCTTGACAGTCATTGGCAGATCCGAGGGGAGGACAACACAGGCTTAAAACTTCTCACATTGACAAAAAAGTTAAAATTTGTTTTGACTACAAACTGTTGTTTTTCTAAAAATTCACGATGGATAATACAGTTTATTGGACTGTCTGCAATACAATTGTCAATTAAAAGTACCTTTTATTATTTAAATATTTTTAATTTTTGAGTTGGCCCTTGGGATACTACCACTAGTAGTGACAATCAGAATGAAACCTCATTTGCATCAAATTCTGTTTCATTAGGCAAGAAATAATCATAACAGATACAGACAAATATAAATATAAGAATTTCATTTTTAACTATACCTCTGTGTTTCTCGAGTAATTGAGCAGCACTTAAATGCATTTCGTCTTCCTCCTCTTCTAAATCTGATTCTTCTAATTCATCTTCTACAAATATTTTTATGTAAATATAAATTTTGAGTTATATTTGAAGTGAAAAGCTAATTATTTTTGTAACAATATTAATTTTGTTTTTAAAATCTTAAATTTATAGCTAAGAAATAATCTATATTATATGTATTTAGTTGTTCCATGTATGTAAATTGTACTCTTATAGAAAAAAATATAAATTGTTTTATATAAAAATTGGTTATTCTATCCATGTGTGAACTTTATCATGTTTCTTACTTTTTTCCATATCATATAAATGTATGATGTATCACATAATTCACTTAAAATTTTCACTATATTTTTTAATAGTAATATCAGATAATTTATAAATAGTAGTAATTATTAATAAAATTGAATTTTTTTTATGTCAAACTGTGTGTACACACACGCAGAGAGAATAACAGTCAAGCAATAAACCTTCCAATATAATTATTGCTAGGAAACATTTTTTTAATCAAATACTAATTTTTTCCAATTTGAAACAGTCTCTTTTATCTATGCTTATTCTTATCATGCAACAAAGCACGCTTAATAGACACTAGGCTTTACATCCATCTTTACTCTCCGTAGCTGACGGAGGAACCAGGTGTCTATTAAGGGCACTTCATTGTGTGATAAGAATAAATACAAATACAGTAGAGCGTTGATTTTCCGAATCAATTGAGGACTGGGGTTGTCCGGATAACTGATATTCCGGATAACTGATTTACGTACGAAAAAATAGTTTAACGTATCCGATGTCGAAATTTTTCTCTGTTGCGTGTCGCTTCGCGTTGAATTTTCGTTGATGTTAAGTCTAACAAAGACTATTGTATCGTTAAAAATTATTTTTTTATTTTGTACAAACAAAATAAATATATTGAAAAATATAAAAATAATAAAAAATTATACTTCAGATGTTAATTTAGTATCAAAAACGTAAAATATTTGAGTAGCCCAAGACATAGCCAAAGATTGAAGCGCCACAGCACTGGCGGAAATTTAAATTTGCCAACTGGAATTCTTTCGGATGATTGACGTTTCGGATGATTGACTTTTGGAAAAATCGATGCTCTACTGTACTGATTACTATTGAGCATCTGCTATATATTCTTAAGCATCTGTTTTAAGAATGGCAGCTCTCAGTAAAATAGCCAAAATGAACAAGTGACTTTTGAAAGTTGGTTGTGATATTGGCCAGTAGAGATAACATGTTTAAAATTATTTGTTACAGTTTAGTAATGTTTATCAATTTTGATTTTAGATACATTAATCTGTCGATTTAATATTTTGAATAATCTTGCATTTCCTCAGCTTTTCCCTGTAAGATACACAGTATTTTTCATATGTTAAAAGTAGTTTTTTAATCAATATTTGTATAAGAAATAAAACAGTGCACTTTATAAACTTAATAATTAATTCTTTATAAATCATTTTGGTCAAATTTCATAATTTGATTACTTAACAATCAGATTAAAATTCAATGCTTTCATTAAGACTTGACGTTTTATGGCCACACTGACAATCTCAATTCTGCCCATTACAGCATTGGATAAACAAAACAGGACTGGCAATATTCCCAAATTCAAAATTATTCACAAAAATCAAATGTTTTGACATTAGAATCTGGCTTCTAATAGGAAGTGAACTTGTTAATGGATATCTAAAAAATAAGCAACTTCTCATAACCTCTAATAAGTTGGTTTAAAGAATTATGGTTATTACATAGACTACAGAATATTTATGATTTCTTTAAATGTGTATTTTGCAAATATTGAAAAATTTTAACTAGCAAATTCATATCTAAAACAATTATATAAAATCATAAGACAATATAGACAGCCAATCACATTTAAAAGATCAAAATAAACTACTAACAATGAAGATCATTTAAACACACAAATATTAAAAAATATTTTTCTGATGACTCAAATTCATTATTTTCTAATGATAAAAATAATGACAAATAACCTAACTAAGAATAAAACTATTAACTAATAATTTTAGAAATTGATAATTCCAATAGTAGTAATAATTAGTTAGTATATAAGACTGAGAATTATCTTCCTATTTTTGGAGTTGTCTAATAGTTCATATTTAGTAAATGAATATAAAGAATGCACACTTCATCTCTTTAATTGTGTATTAAAAATTTGAAAGTCACTCTTAGTCTATAAAAAACAACTACCCTTATTTGTTTAGTATTTCAAATTATTTGTAAAGTAAATATATTTTCCTGTTATAAGTAAGGAAATAAAGTACAGTGTACTTTTTTAATCATAAAAAGTAAATAGAAAAATAACTGGTTATAAAGCACTGTATATTTATCAAGTTATGAAACAGAGTACAAACATTATAAAATGATATTAGAGCACTTGGACAATTACATTACAGATTAAAAAGGGAAAACAAAAAAAGTAGATCAAGATTTGTCAAGTCATCTTTCTCATATTTTTGTAATAAAAATCGATTGTAATACATAGAGCAATTTACAATTTTACATTTTATTCCAATTGTTCAAAAATCAAATTAAACAATTTAATGTAATATCTAAAAGGAATGACAATACGCAATTTCAATTAACCAAAAATTCAAATTTTCAACTTTGATTTAATGAAAATTTTATCATATTTTGAAGACCAACAGAAAATTACAACTAATTTTTGGTGATAAAGCTTAAACTCAGACTATTACAATTATTAAATTTGAGAAGAAATGTATTTTGGATTTGAAGGACACAACTCTTCTGTTCTGAATATTTGCATACCTATTGTAATTTATTATACCCAAAATATTTTGTAAAATTCTACTTATATTATTGACACATTCTTTAATTTTCTTTTAAGAGGCAAACATTGCAAAGTGACAGAAATACATTACCTAAAAATTTGCAATTCAGGTCAAATCAAATTTTAACTGAAAATATTCCAAAGCCACAAATAAATATCAAAGAAAGCACAACAATATGAACAATAATTTATCAGTCGTCTTTGTTCTATTTTGTTATTTATGAGTATTATTTATTATATATAGAGTGATAAGTAACTCATTTTTTGACATAATGAATTAAAATTATAGTGTAAAAAAGTCCACTACAATCAATTTTTTATATTTACAACAACGAAAATTACCTATTCAATAATGATTTTATGACATGCATTGTCTCGTATCCTTTTAATAGAATAACAATAATATAACTTTTTACCTGGTATGTCGTCTTCTCTTAAAACAATTTTATCATCTTTAATAAGTTCCTCTTTAATAATTTCAATATCTGGAGTTTCTTTGGATTTTGTTTCTTCAATTGCCTTTTTCTCCATTTCTCTTTTGAAAATTTTCTACAAGAAAAAAAAAAGTTTATCTTTCAAAAAACAGCTACATAATATTTGCTTATTCATTTACTGAATATATAATGCAAAAAAACTCTAAGTAATTAAACATAAGTAATAAGACAATGTATAAAATTTACTTGTATGTGCTCTTCATCATCATCAATTGGTAAAGATGTTCGTTTATGGCTATAAAAAGAGAAATGCTTTTTTCAATTAGAATAACTAATTTTACTAATTATATAAGTTTTTATAAAATAAAAAATTCTATTTTTATTCTTTCTAAGTATAAAGGATAATGTAAAATGTAAAATTTCTAAAATTAAGTATTCTCTTATCAATAAAGCAATCCCAAGAATTTGAATAAAATTTACCTTGATATTTCTTAAATTGATTGCAATTGAATATTCTACAATAGAATTTTTTTTATCAGAGAAAAACAATTTTAAAAATTTAATTTGAATTAAATATTTTTCTCCTAATTATTCTTTTTATGCACACTCATTGATAAAAAGGTACACACCTAGATAGTGTTAGATAAAAAGGTACACCTAAAACTGTAATCAGAACATTATGTCTCAGACAGGTACATAAATGATTACAGTTGTGGTCTGATGCTACCAGAGTGTCTTATAATCACTACCCCAGTATCCTATAAAATGGCTCACAGAGACTCAGTGGATCCACAATTTTCAATTTGCTTATTGCCTGTTGTTTCTTCAAGCAACAGGTACTGTACATTGCCTATAAGATGCAGTCAAAAGTATTATGCACAACTGATGGAATTTGACAATAGCCACATAATCAAACTGTCCACCATTTGGGTCATTACGGCCTGACTGTGAGCAGGTGCTGTGGGAAATGGATACATCAGAGTATTACACGCAGCCAGACTCCAGATGTCCGACAGATCACCAAGAGAGATTATCGTCTAATTCTGAGACAAGCACAAATAATTGCAATGGCATCTTTCTCCACCATTCAGAGAGAAATGGAAACCTTGCTACAGAATATTGCTCCTTTCTGTACCATTGGTATGCATTATAAGAAGCAAACTATATATATGGCAACCACTACATATGCTGCTATTAGCACCCAATGTTTTAATACCACTGTTCCACATTATCACTTATTACCATCGTCATTATGTTTGCACTTAAGTTTCATTTGGTTTTGACAGCTCCTTATTGGTATGTAACTTTTCTGTCAATAAGTGTATATCAAAATAAGACCTTTTTCAATGTGCCAAAATATTTTGCAAAAATGATTTATTTAGCTGAATTTGTACAGAATATTTGTCAGAAAAGAAAATCTAAATTAAAAAAAAGAAAAAGAAAAATATATATTTGAGAAAAAAAGGGAATAATAACAGTAAATAACACTAATAAATTATACCAATTTCATAAAAGGAAAAAAAATCAAACTTATATTTATCAAAACTATAACAAAAATAGCATATTTTATGCAGAGAGGTTGATTGCAATGTATGCATGTAAATACAGGTATCCCTCATATAACACAGCCAATACATTCTTAAAAAGTACTGTGTTATGCAAATCCATGCTATACAAAACAAAGGACAAATGCAAAACATGGGGTTAAGTCCAAAAAGTTAACAAAAGTATACTATTCTTTTTCGTTACTAAGAGAAATATGTTTATTAAAGCAATTGATAATTTATTTCCAATCAATAATTAACTAACAAACACAATTAAAAGCACTGTTAATATTAATTTTAGTTAAACGAGAGCATTTTCCTTTTTGTCACTATCTCAGATTTTTTATAGATTTTGATCATAAATATCAGCAACATCTTCATTTTTTTTTATTTTTATCACACTTTTCTATGGATGACAAAATAAAAATATGTTAATAATCAATAATTTGTTCTAACAGTTCATTGTTGTTTGGTCAAGTATCAAGCAATTTTTTCCAGAATTTGTGCTCAAATACCAAATCATTCCAGTACCAAGATATGCCACATTTTGTTCTTCATTTTTATGAATGATTACTTACATGTGGTTAAAAAAAGTTTAACAACACTTACTTAAAAATGTTTAAATAAACTTTACTATATGCAAAGAATAATCTATAAAACAAAACACAGTGACAGTCTTAAAGGCTAAAGTCTGAAAGCAATGACAATAACACCTGGTTGATAGGAAAGGTAAGACAGGGAAGAAAAAAAATTGCATTATCAGTTTTCATTAAAGTAAACCTGACAAAAAGCACAAAATCATTTGAAAATTTCAATATTCTAAAGTCCACAGGCAAATTTGAGACAACACACATGCTTAGTTGAATAAAAAAAAATATTGAATAATGGTGTTTACACTGAAAAATTGTGAAATTTTGTACGGAGGATTTCCAAAACAGTGTTGTACAAGAGATACTTGTATCAGTACTCAAAAATCTTTGTTTCATTTATTATTGAACAACAAAAATGATTATATTGATATAACTGGCTTTTTCTATACTTGTAAAATAGTAATTTTTTCAGTAGTATAAGAAAATTGGTTGCTCTATATTAACTAAACTGTTCTGTTTCAAATTCATATAAATATATGCTTAGTAATACAACTCCAAGTTGAACAAAATTCAATCATCTAGTTTGAGACTAACATTAAACTACATCAAGTTGAAACCAAGACAGTGCACACGGGGATTTAATCATTTCCATTTGGGAAGAGTTAAAAAATTAAATGTATATTGTATCTAGCTTATATTCATTTTGTACCCATTCAGTTCCTCCTTAGTCTACTGTATCACATTAGGGTAATTCCATACATTCAGTACTTTTTGAGTGTTGAATAAACTGCCTTTCATCAAAAAAAGGCAAAAATAATTGCCTTTATTTGCCAAAGTGTTTGTCATATTGTGAGCACATACATACACACACCATTATTTTATAAGCATTAGTTCATTGTGGGAATAATGAATGTTTGTCTGACAGCTAGAAAATTGACAATTCTCAAACAATAATTTGTGCAATTGCTTTTGTAGTTATTAGCTGTTCATATCTGTTAATGAAAAATCAGCTAACCCACAGGTGGCCTACAGTTTTTGCTCCCAGGTCGAATTGGAAAGAAAACTTTTTCCACGGGTCGAACCAGAGGCTGCCCTAGGAAGATTTTGAGGTGGTGTGAGATCTCATTGTGGTGTCACCCAGTAGAGACTAAATTGTAGATAGAGATTACAGATACATTTTTCACATTATCATGCTTTATTAACATTCTACACTGTACTTATGAGATTTGTAATGGAGGGTTAACTCTAAACGCACAGTGAGTTGTTGACCTTTCTTTCTTTCTTTTTTTTTTTTTTTTAGGCATCAGAATTTTTCATCGAGCTATTCAGACTTGAGTAGCTAATATTGAAAAATTGATCGTACGCCACATAAATTCAGTAGACAGGCTGGATGTTGGCCATGCCTGAGCTAACCAGTTTAGCTTATTTATTTCATCTGTCCTTACCACACTTTTTAACATTCTGCTTTACTTTATTATAAGGCATTCTAAATGACTAAAAAAAACTCATCAATAAATTTTTTTTTTTTTTTTGTCATTAATTTGGCAACAGAATATTTTCCATCTCTAATTACCATTTCATCAGACAATTCCATTTTGAAAATAATGACCAAAAACAAGAAAATACGTGATTGTGAGCACAAATGGAAACAATATTCATCTCCTTTGATTCAGCACAATTTACCAACAATAAGAGGATACACTGAATGTGTGGAGGAACCCTTTACTCTATATTCCTAAGATTGTAAAAATTAATATATATTACATTATGAAAAAATAATTGTTTTTAAAACCACATCCTTTTTAAAATTCTTGTGGACAGTCCTAGTTGACACTGATCATATTTTGATTTTAAACTAGTAATATTACCCATTACTTTCGAGTATTAGATGCTTGACTGATACTTGTTTGCTCAATATTAGTTACTTAGATACTCTATAGAAGATAATGGATATTGAATAGATAGTAATGAATAGTTACTACTTGAATCAAATATCATATTTGGAATGTCTATTCAGTAGAATTTCATTGTGTTCATGCTCTTACTTAGTTAGACATTGTAGTAGTAGTTCTTGGTTGTTATTTAGATTTTTTTTAAATATATAAATTATGATTTTTCATTATGGACAGAATTTTTAAATTTGTAAGATTAATCGTAGTTTTATACCTATTATAATTGAGGGCATCTCTATTGAGGTTTTTTTCAGTTAATGGCAACATACAACTGAAAAAGCACTGGTTTCTTCAATCATTGTATGGTTATGATTGTGACTAGTGCCTCACATAAGCTAACCTTGGATTTGTTTGTTTCGTTTTGCTTGATCTTACAGTTGGAATACTGAAGGAAATTTTCTGGTTCTGAATAACAATTTATTCATTATTATATTCTTTAACAGCTATAGTAAGTTTTTAAAATAGATTTTTGATGGACAGATGATCCAAGCAATTATAATATTTTTCTCCAGAAAACCTGTTCAAGAGTCTGGTTTATATTCTTAGGAATTTTCAGGTGTTAGTCTGAAAATTTCATTTTTCAACCCTCGCCAATCTGCTGTTATGTTAGGGACTTGATCAAACCTGTAATGTTTACACAAAAGATGTCTTACACTCTTACTACCTAAGATAAAAAGGATTTTACAAAATTAACCTCTTCATCTCTTGTAATTCTTTAAATCAATAGGTACTTAAGTAAAATATGTTAAGTATAAATATAAAAATTTTAATAACTGCAATTCACAGAACACATATAATGGTAAGTGATAATGAAAGAATAATGAATATTATTGATTGTCATGATTCTAAGATTATAACAACATAATACTTATCACTCTGATATATTACAAATATTTTTAGAGATAAACACAATTTAAATCATAATTGCTAAACAAACCTTTGTTCAAAAATAGAAGACATGACATTTTTAATACTTTCTGGTGGTTCTCCACCTTTTTGAACTATTTTAGGTCTTTGTCTGGAATGTTTTGCTACAGGTTTTTCAGGTTCCTTTTCTGTTTCATTTGGTTTTGTATCTTTAGTGTAAAGATTTTCAAGTACTTCGTAATTTATCTTCCGGGATAACTTTTTATCTCTTATCATACTTTCCATCGCATCNAATCCATTTCTAATTCTTTATTTAAAATCATTACAACTAGCATAACTGGTTGTTACACTTATTACAAATTATGATTAATTATTTCATTTTGATTAATCAATTCATGTATTGTTGCTTCAAAATGTGCAGAAGATTGTATATCACATGTAAGTTTTACATCACAATTTTATTAAAATATGGAAATTCAAATTGACACTGTTAACCTTATAATATAAACCCAATACATGTTTTTGAAATTAATCAATTCACATTGAGTAAATATCCCAAAATAAACAAAATAATCATACAGTTTATTAATTGCAGAATAAAAAACATCTTGCTTTGCAGTTCTTGCAATTGCTCATTAATGTCCCCAGTCTCCTTATTAGCTTCTGCAAGAAATTTTTTAGCTCTCATCATTTCTGCAGCCATCAATTTCTCAATCTGCTCTTTTTCTTGCCTTATTTCTTCCTGTTTACAAGCTATCATAGCATCCTTGTATCTGCTACTGGGCTGCATTTAGAGTTGCATGGATCAACTGTTCTGATACATCCAATTTCCCCAATCCACTAGATGACATGACTACATCGTGTTCTTTTCCATAAGCTACAAATGTCTCTCTCTCTCTCTCTTTTTTTTTTTTGTTTTCCATTGGCATTCTTTGTTGGTGGAAAAATCCATGTTCCATATGAGCATTACCATATGATATTATTAAAATCATCTTCACAAATGTTTCAAATTCTTTTACTTCACCAAAATGATGTGACAGGCTAAGCCAGAAAGAATCTAACCTGTCATGCTGTCTGGAGTAGTGTTTAACAATACCACTAATTCCTGGGGATAACAAAATGTCTTTGTATTGCTTAATAATTTTATCAGCCATAGAACCATTTATCCAGTTGTTAGACACAACAGTTTCTAATGTAATATCTAGCATTTTTTGTACTTTCTCTCTATTCCTTTCTTAAGTTAGGTTTAGGCATGACAATCCCTTGGTCAATTTGTATTTCAGTGGCAACTTTCCATCAGTTTGGTGGTTATAACTCATTAGAATTTTGAAAAGACTGCAAACTATTTAAAAGTCTCTGTCAGTTACTACCTTCTTTCTAACTTTTCTAATTGCATTTTTGGTGGCATATACAATGTCTACTATATATACTGTCCAGAGATTATCAACTCAATATTTTAGTTTACTACCTAGTTAACAAATTGCAAGTTACAATCACAGAGGATCAGAACAGACTTTTATATAGGAAATAGTTAAAAAAGTGACAAGTGTCAAGAAATTTAATGTGCACTTCATTTCTTAGTTTCTCAAAAACTTGAAAAGGATGCACATTAGAATAGGATAAATACAGTATCATCATCTTTCCAAAAGAAATTTTGTCATTAAAATGAAAAAAGTGACTTTTAGTTGAAATAGTATTCCAGTTCCAATCCTTCCATCATTGTAAATTGCAAGCATTGCTGAAGCATAGATGGATTCTACATACCATTTGCTCAGTAAGAACTTTGAAATTGTGTTGTGACCAGATCTCTACAACCTCATTTTCACTAGCTAGCTGCTGCTAGCTAGGGTTGCCAACTGCTTTTCAGTGAATCCTGCAAGATGACACTTAAAAATGACCTAGTTACAATTGAAAAAGCTAGATTTTTTCATAAAACAATTTAAAGCCAAATAATTCAAATTTTGTACTTTCTTGAAATATTGGAGTAAATATTANTGCAGCCATCAATTTCTCAATCTGCTCTTTTTCTTGCCTTATTTCTTCCTGTTTACAAGCTATCATAGCATCCTTGTATCTGCTACTGGGCTGCATTTAGAGTTGCATGGATCAACTGTTCTGATACATCCAATTTCCCCAATCCACTAGATGACATGACTACATCGTGTTCTTTTCCATAAGCTACAAATGTCTCTCTCTCTCTCTCTTAGGGTTACAATAAAGTTATATAATTCAAATTTTGTACTTTCCTGAAACATAATTATTATACTTAAATTTAATTAGCATGCATGATGTAATCTTAGATCATCATACATATCATGTGACACAACAATGTATACATTCAAATCACTTCTGTTGCTCCCTTTTACATTATATGATGCATTATACATTGTAATAATGATTTTTTTTTTCCAGGTTTAATATCAAATTCCCTGAGATTTCCGAGACTTTTCCCTGATATGATAAATTCTGATATTTTCAGGTTTTACAGGTCTGTTGGACACCCTGTTATTATTTATTAATTATTGAAATATTTTTTTTTCAAAATAATTAAAAATAAGTTTTCATTTCATAGCAATCCATTTCTAATTCTTTATTTAAAATCATTACAACTAGCATAACTGGTTGTTACACTTATTACAAATTATGATTAATTATTTCATTTTGATTAATCAANATCGCTTTTTGCATTGTTTTAAAGATACGCAATAGGTGACAAATGACAACAGTCACCATAGCAACGTCACATTTCCATGGAGAATGACAGAATCGGAGAGTAGAGAGAGAATCGCCTGTTTACCATCTCGTCAGGAGCCGCTCGATGATTTTATGAAACGGATGTTTTTTCATAATTTTTTTTTATAATCTTAAAATATTTGGACGAGAATTAGCCACGATTCCTAAAAACTACACTCCTCATAAAGGAATGTGCTTAGCCATACACAAATTGCAGAATCAGTAGAGGTGACAGAGATAGGCAGATGATTAAGTTTGCATATGCATCAGGTCATGCAGTACCCAGTTTCCTGCTCTAAAAACCAATAGCCAGCTCAGGCCATAAATGCTATCAGCAATGGTTTGCAACAGAAGAAGCATAGAAAATGCATTGGAGATGACAGCAAGCTGAATACTATCTGTTAACAGCTGGGGAATGAGACCATATCCTGGAGCTATGCAACCTTGGTTTATCAATGCGCACAGTTGCCACGTGTGCTGGGCATGACATGACCATCCAGCAATGTGTGATGCAATGGACACTGGAACATCTATGAACACACTGAAGAGGGAGTGGATCTCATGGCACACAGACTGGCCGATTTGCCAAACAGCTCACCATTCACCATGGCACATGACATCTGAAGCTGCCTGTCACCATCAACAGGTGCATCTACGTCAACCCAAACCATTTGCAACAGGTTGCATGAAGTTGGGCTGCATGCATGGCAACCAACAATGAGATGTCATTTACCACTGAATAGCTGCAGGTCTGGTATGGTGTCATTGTCATCACAACTGGACCACTGAATGGCATCAGGGATTGTTTAAAGATGAATCCCACTTCTATCTGTGGAGGAATGACAATCCTGGACAAGTATGGCAGTATCCTTGGGAATGCTATATGCCAGCCCTTTCACCAAGCATTATGGTTTGGGGAGGCATGTTCAATCAATGGGTAGCCCTGGTGCACATTTCCAATATTCTGACAGAGGACAAGTAAATCACATTAATTGTGGGGCCTGTGGTTCAGCCATTGATGCAGGCTGCATCTTGAAAATGCCTGACATGTCGTGTGGCAAGCTCTCATCAGCCTGAGCAGAATTCACATTCTTCCCTGGCTGGTAGCTGTGCCAGATCTCTCCCCGTTGAACACCTGTGGGACCATCCAACATGAGATGCACCAGGGACCACTACCACATACCGTAGACAACATGTGTGTCACAATGGATGCAGCTTGGAAAGGGATATCTTAAACACCCATTAACTGCCTTGTTAATAGCATGCCTCGCCATATAGTGGCCTGTATAGCTGACCATGGGACCATATTTGTTACTGAATAAACAGGTATTTGTTCTACCAATGCATCACCTACAATGGACATGTGGCAATGTGCATTCCTTCGTGTTGTTGAAATTTCACTTTTGAGGAGTGTATTATAAATATTACTGTTAAAATTTATCTATCTCATCAATACCAACATGTAAAAAATTGGAAATTACATAAGATTGAAAACAGAATTTTTGATCTCCAGGTTCTGCTTACTTTTATTTAATTATATTCCCAATTTCTTTATATTATATAAAATTGATGATAAAAAATATTTCTTTTTATATATTCATTTCAGAAGTAAATCAATGTAAGTAAATTTAAACAACAAAATATTTAAATTATTTTTTGAGTCATGTTATAATATTCTAATAATAGTAATTTTTATCTTTGAATATTAAAAATTATTTACTGAATCAATCTCTTCCTCATCTAAATCCACAGTGTCCAATTCACCATCATTGCTTTCTTCATCTATAATTTAGTAATGATAAATATTAATATTCCTGATTTAATATATTTGATTAAATGTATTTTATAGTGATCTTACCTTCTACAGGCTTTTTTCGCATACATTCTTCTATACTTTCCTTCAAACCTAGGCTAGCAGCAGTCGGATGAACTGGAGTATAATTTGATTCACTAACAACTTCTTCTTTGCTACTAGTAATATCCTGTCCAACAACATCTTGAATGGATTCAATAGTTTCTTCCATTATAAACTGCTCAGTAATGTCATTCTCAGATAAATTTTGTTCCTCTAAAAGTAATAACAATAGAATTTTGAATTTATAATAATTATTTACATTTTTTTAAAATTACATGAAATATACTTTTATTAAATTCTTAAATACTTTTTAATTTAAGACAATAATTATTTATTGTTTTTACTTTCAAACGTAGTAGCAGCCATGTAAATTGCATCATCTGTAATGTATACCACAGATGTGCAAAGTTGTATATTTAAGCCATGATCACAATTTATAATGATAACATAACTTATACACAGAAGAAACCAAAAAATGCAATTTATTACATACCAGTTGAAAGGCCCGATGCAGGCTTCAGGGCATAATAGTTAGCATGCATAGCAATGATAAATAATTAATTACAAATGGTTTACCTAAAGTGTAGAGACACACTTTAGGTAAACCATTTTCTACATTTAACTTCTCAGTAATGGCTTTGTATGTGATTGGTAGGCATTTAAACTCACATGCACAGTTTTCACACTTGCTTTTATGCCACTTGTTCATCCTATTTTACTTTCAATTCAGAAGAACTAGCAGTATATTCTCACAGACAGATGCTTCAGCATCCTATCCTGGTGCAGAATATTTACATATTTATCTGTTGATCCAGTTTTTCTTTTAAAAATGTTGCCATGTTCATATCTCCTTTGTAACAAATGCACAATTGTTGATTGATGACAATACATTTTCTGAGCTATTTCACAAGATAAACCTTTATCATTCAAAGCAAAAATTACAAACTTGTTATGTGGTGTTAAGTGCTGAAAACGTCCATTTTGCTTATAAAAGCACACTATCTTTGCACAAGTTTTTATAACAAAAGATGAGGTCATCACCAGAAATACTGTTACAGTAGACTTTTAGTTAATAAAGCATTCTCATGTTTATGATGCAATGGATGATGCAATTTTTACAGTTCCTTGCAGCTATAAAATGATACTTTAATTTAAAAAGTAAACATATTTTTATAGGATTTTATGGGTGATGTAATATTCACAAACAGTACTGTAGCAGAAAAAAATCATTACTTGAATATGATTTTCATTTTCATGTTAGATTATAATCAATTTAACATCAAATAAGGCAAAGTTAAAAGTGAAAAAATTAAGTGTTTCATTAAAAACATAATTCAAAATAAATATTATGCTAATTCTTACTTTATTATTTTTACCTCATTCATAACAAAATTAAATTTACTATTTAAATTTAATAAAAAATAATTTATTCAAATTAAGCAAGAGACATGTAAAAGTTTTCTTTTCTAAATAATCCTTTTTCTTTCTGATGAATTTAAATGAAGATAAATAAAAAACGAAAATGAATTTAAATTTATATAGAATCAAATTGTTTAGAAAAAGCTCAGAAATGAATTATTGAACATAGCAAATAAACTACATAAATTTTAAATCAGTAGTGTTTTAAGCATAATTGGAATTGAGAAATTTCTTCTTAAAATCAAAATAATTATTATAATTTTCTAGCAGACTTTTACATATATAACTTAAATATAATTAAATTAAAATAACAAAAATACTTACCTTGTGGAGTAAACTGGCTATATTTTGCATAAGGACCTCGGAATTTCTTCCTTTTATCCTCTAAAGCTTTTTCAATCAACTCTTGAAATTCAGTTATTTTATTTGTAACTTCTTCTAAACCACTTTCTTCCAACTGTCAAAAATAAAAGTTAATTATTATTTAAAAAATTAAATAAAGATTTTAATAATAATAATACTTAGAGATTTTTTATAATAAAATTATATTTTTCTTTATTTAGTGTGTAAAAGTTATGCTTAAAATTTACTTGTTGGAGTTTTTGCTTTCTTTTTGCTTCTTTAAAAGAAGGAGGATCTTGTTCTTCTTCCAAATCAATATTCATAAACTCATCCAATGTCAACTGACTTGTGGGTGTATCACCAAATTCTGTTAGCCTAAATATTTTTAGATAAAAATTAATTTTTTTAAAATGTTCTTAATATGATGCAGATTAGTAAAATAGTATTCTTATTAGGTTTTAGTTATTTTTTATAACTAAGCTTAAAATGCAAATGAAATATCTTAATTCTGTGGGATAAACACAAAGCTATGGAATCTTTTATATACAACTGTGTGAAATAGGTAAGTTTAACTTTCTTAAAACCAGGGTAACGATCTGTCGCACCCCCCATTGTTATAACAATGTACTAGGGTACCGATTCGTCGTTACCCTGCGAAAAATCGATTTTAATGAAAATTTTTGGCAACAGATGCCACCACTTGACTGTAGTGTGTTGTCTACCATCTGTTTCACATATTTTTGTCCAGGTGGTGTTTTGTCGACTCAGAAATTTTTATTTAGCGATTTATTTTCTTAATTTATATATTCTCTCATTTATTTTATAGCATATTTACGTAATAATATTACTAAAATACGTTTATTTATGCTATAATAAGTTTATTTAGTTATAATTAAGCAATTTATGATAAATATTTAAATTGTAACTTTTAATTTTAATATTTTTTAAATTTTTTATTTTTTAATTTAATTAAAAATATTAGCACATCGTAAATGTATTACTACTGGTTTATATATTTATCACAATAATTTATATTATTGTTCAAAATAAAATGAATAAAGAATATTAGTTCGTAATATTCATCGATAGCAAAATAAAGGTTAGATTCCAAACAAAGGATATATTATAATCTGTCATAATTTTAAAACTAAAAATCGTACATTCATAAATGTTATATAGAATTGTACAGAACAACATTTCAAGTCGTTCTGGCTTGGTGCCAAGAACAAACTACTTAACTGGAGTATGTGAATTTTAAAAAATGTTGCAAATTTTCACAGACAGATGTCAGTTCTGATATATTATAATTTTTTTCTATTGAATTTTTTTATGGAAATGTATTTTAAAATATCGTATTTATAACTACAGATATTAATAAATGTAACGTGATTTTTGTCATATGAATATAACAATAACTTGATTTTTGGTGAATTTTTGAAATAATATAACTTGTTGACCTATATTGACCTTGGCTCTTCTAGACAATAAACGTAAACACGGGGGCATGGTAACTGCTTCTAAGAAGGTTAAAAGGAAAATTAAAACAATGTATAATTACTAATAAACCATATATAATTTTGTATATATTAACTTTAACTGTAATTAGATTGATAAATTTCTCTCAGCTATTTATAGTGTAATAGAAGAAATCAATTATTTTGTTTTGTTTATTATTATTAATTTTTTATTTTGAAGGATGCTGAAAGAAACATCTGCTATGATTCCATCCATGTACTGTACAACTAAGGGTGTGTTTACTTCTGAGCTAACAGTGCTACTTCTGAATACCGGAAGTGACGTCATTAGCATGTGTATTCGTGCTTACATGTCCAGTTCGAAAGTAAACGCGAACGCTAACAAGAAATATGGCGGTTTCCTGCAAATAATATTGTCAAAGCTGCTATTTTAAATGTTACGTTACAGATATAACTACTTGATTCCAAATCGGACGAGGATGATTTTATTGTGGATATAATTGTAGAAAAATGAAAAAATAAAAAAGAAAAGTAAAGTAAAATAAAAAAGATAGAAACTTTTATTGAAGAGACTCTACCTTTTTATAAGCCAATCGATTTTAAACAACCTTAGACTTACAAGAGAAAGCTTTGAAATTCTCCTTTAAAAAATAAGCCCAATTATAGACACCGAAAAATTATTTCCTCTGGAAGACGACCCGTGTCTCCTCAAAAGCAGCTTTTACGCTGTCTATGGACATTGGCAAATCAAGAATCATTCAGATTTGTTTATACGAAGTAATATATGAAATTAGATGCAGTTTATAAGAGAATAGTAGATTATACATACATNGACGACCCGTGTCTCCTCAAAAGCAGCTTTTACGCTGTCTATGGACATTGGCAAATCAAGAATCATTCAGATTTGTTTATACGAAGTAATATATGAAATTAGATGCAGTTTATAAGAGAATAGTATATTATACATACATATAATACATACTTAAAGCAATTGTTTTGCCCAGTGAATAGATGTGACGTTGTTTTGTCGTGGTGTAACTAAACTGAGTTCAAAATTAACAAATAACTGATATTAAATACAAAACACTTTTTCTTTCTTTCTTTCCTCTATGGGTATTGGCAATCGTTTTAATATGTTTAGATGGACTGCGTGGAATATTTTAAATAAAGTTGTTAATTCTTTCTTACAAGTTAGTGTTAAATGAAAATGAAAAATGATCTCTTGGCCATCACACAGCAGGATGATGTAAGAATAATGGAATTTTTTATACCCAATCTGGTTTTCCTGGAATTAGAGGCTCTATTGATGAAAAGCATATGGCTATTAAGACATCAACTGAAGAAGCAGTAGCCTATTTCAATAGAAATAAGTATTACTCTGTCATCATATAAGTTTAGTTTGTAATGAAAAAATGGTATTCAAATGATACAATTTCTTGAGAAGTCATTTCCCATATGTAAGTGAAAATTCATTCAAGCATACAAACTTATGCAATTTTGGATTATTATTAATGCTTTTCATTTCTTTATGATTTATTTAATGCTCTGAACATAACATTTCTGAAGATTCCAAATGCGTATTAGGTAAACCTCACTTTTAATCATAAACAATGAATCAAACTTAATTTTTTTCACATTAATTAACTCTGTTTATGAAAAAAGTCATCTAAAGCTATTGAACCTTACAATGAAAAAAAAGATCATTGTAAACATTTTACACAACAAATTGAAATTTACCGATAAAAATACTTTCTGCCGTTTATTTTTCGAAAACTAATTCCATTTTTAGTACTTTGTACAAAAAGTAATTTTTTCATGAGAGCAGCCATATTGAATTAGCGCAAAGCTTGATAACGAACTAGCTAGCACTCTGAGCTTACCAATTTCACTAAACATGACGTCACATAGCTCTAAAGTAAACGCCAATGAGCGTGGCACTCAGATGAAAGTATACAGGCTGAGCGTGCTGAGAGTAAAATTAGCTCAGAAGTAAACGCACCCTAATACTAATTGTTTTCAGCAATTAAATAAATAAATAATTCAGAAACAAATTAAATTTGATCTTACAAGACAAGAAGTAAACAAATATAAAAAATTAACTTTTAATAATTAGCAAAGCATTTTGGATTTCTGCTAAAATATCAAATAGGTCTAGATGAAAAAAAATTGAATATTTAGATTAATATATTCATATAATGTATAAAATTGAATATTCATATTAAAAAGTTATTTAGAAAATTTTAATCAATGTAAACCTTTTAAATGTTAAATTTAATACTTACTAGTATAATAAAATCTCATTTTGTGAAATTTTATTATAGTACTAAGAAATAGAATTTGATTAAATTCTCTAATTCTTCATAATATCAATTCTACACACATTAATTCTTTTAATCTACAATATTTTAGAATGCCCATTAAAATTTTAAATTAATATATTTGATAATATATTTACACAAGTCCACTCTGAAACTAAATTAACCAAAAATTTAGTAATAAAATATATTTTTAATATCAAATCAAAAGAACTTTAAAATGCAACAAATTTTTGAATCTTTTCCTGCAGTCTCAATTTAATTGAAATATGATTTCAGTGAAACTGAGAAGAAATATAACATCTATAGATTGAATTTATTGTTAGCCATGAACGTTTTGAATATAAATTTATTGATATTATTTACTTATAAATCCTGAAAAATATTCTTATTGCACAATTATTCATTATTAATATGAAAGTTTCTGATGTTTCAAACATTAATTTAAGAAAGAAATTATGAAAAATGTAAATGAATTCTTTTTATGAAGTCCGTTTAGAGAGTTATGGTTTTAATAACTCTTATTAACAATGCTTAAATATGCTTGAGTAAATATCATGTATTTTATAGAAAAATCTGTAACTTTTAAAAATCATGTGAATCTATTTTACATACTCAATCACAATTAAATATATAAGGAAAAAATAACTATATATAAAAAGTTATTTTATATTTGTTTATTTGTAATTTATTTTTAGTACTTCATTTAATGTGAATTAAAAATATTGTAAAGATAAAAAAATAAAAAAAAGCAAACATATCTCAAAATTTGAAGGGATTTTAATTATGAGCATATCCTATCAATTTTCTGTGTGTAACTTTGAAGATATTTACTATGGATTATTTACCAAAATATATTTGTCATCTGAATAAATTTTATCCCCTTACAGTAAATTATTTTATCAATTCATTGCTAAACAATTCTTAATAAAAACTACACATTTAATATATAATAAAAAATTTACAAACCTCTTTCTTACAGTAGCTTCACAAACTCTGACAATTTTAATGATATCTTTAATTGTTCTATTAAAATCATGCAATCTAGCAGCCACTAACAGAGCTATAAACAAAAGTCAAATAGATAAATCATAGATATAATCTTATAAAAATTTTAAATCTTAAATAAGTTAAAAGAATAGATGAAACTGTTAATTTAATATTTTCCAGAATCTATTCTAAAAAACTTTTCATTAAATTACTTAATGATATACAGAACAAATGACTTAAAATCAATTTCATATAACTGATCACATTTTAAAATAATATATACAACAGCATAAATCAACACATGATTTCTAATGATAATTTACATTAAAAATTTGAATTATTAATGACTCAGACTTATTAAATTATGTATGTACAGTACATATATACATACATGTCATAGCCACATACCGAAATTTGTCTTTTCAAGAAGTGCCTAATCATTTTTTGAAGCACTAGCACATCCTGTAATAAACAATTGTTTCAGAATCTGAAGTTTTTCTGATCACTTTTTGAAATGCTAACCTGCTTTCTGGAGATGTTGGAACAGCTGTATATTTCAGCATCTGTTTAATGAAACTAGGCATTTAATGTAATGTCTAATGGCATTTCTGTTTTAATTCTGCAGTTTTTACAGAAAACTACGAAAATAAAGACAGTAGTGACCGTGCAAGCAATGTTTGATAAATATTTTGCTAGATTTTAAAAAATTTTTACTTAATTTACTTTATTTTGGTTACTTTTGTGATTAGTTTAAACTTTCCATAATTAATCATTAATGTTATTTTCTAATTTGTTTTGATTTTTCTGTGAAATACACTTTACTTTGTCTAAAATCTTTACTGAAAAATTATTAATTATTTAAACAATTCTTCATTTCTCATGTTTTTTACTCTGCCTGAACAAATATAAATAAAAAATTATGATTTCAGACTTCTTAATGACCTAATTCATGAATTATTTTCCATTGATTGATTTATAACAAATACATGCAGTTTTGATAGCTACAAAAAAACTGCAAAATCAATTAACTGCATATAGTGAAGGTTACCTTTACTTTTTTTTGCATTTACAAAAAATTACACAAAAAATTTTATTACGTAATCTAAACTAAATTATGATAAATTTAAGAAAGGACTGTCATATAATCAAAGCTAGCTTCTTTTAAAAAATATAATTAACTTAAACAAATTTTATTAAATTACAGTCCATTATGATGAAAATAATTCGTTTTCAACCTTGACTAACTCTTGCAATTGCTTATCTGTTACATTTCATAAAATACACTAAAAAATTCATTCATTCTTGTCAAAGGAATACCAATCAAGCTGATAAAAATTAATGCAGCAACTGATGTAAAAAAGAATGATTGACTGAGATAGTTCAATGATAAAATAATAACAAGCACACATAAGACTAAGTTAATTAAACAAAAAAAAACTAGATTCAGATTTAGCTACACATTATTTGAATTTTGTACAGAACCATGTGACAAATTTTCAAAATCATCAAGTTTAAAATCAGTGGAAGTAATATTAACTTAGTAACTTGACTTAAAAAATAAAACAGTACTATTTTTATTCTGAATTATAAACAAAATCAGAAAACGTTATTAATAAGGAATTACCAGCACCACATAAACCTGATGGTCGTCTTCCAGTATTCATCCAATCTCTTTTCATCCGCTGTACAAGTCTCATTGCAGTTGTACTTACAGCATGTGTTTTATTTCCAAATTCTAACTGATGTGCAAAACGAGGTACATATAGACAAGGATCTAGTAATGTAATGATAAAAATATTTAAAGTTGTAATTAAATTTGAAGGAACATTACAGTGCAATAAACAAATAAAATTCATCAAATATAAAAATTTTAATTTGGTTTTTATTTCAATAAATTAAGCAAAATGACACAAATTGCAAATGACTACAAAACAACAGTAACCAAATGCAGCCCACAAACCACAAGTGTGTCTACTAGTGGTCAAATAGATAAAACCACTGAACACCAGTAGCTGGTTGTTGGTTGGAGGCATTCACAGTCATAATAATAACTCTTATATCTATCTAAAAATAGACTGCAAAAAGCATATGATATGTGAATATGGCAGTGGCAAAGTTGCTTATAGATGAAGAGAAATCTAGAGAGTATTTTGAGCAAGACAAATCTTTAGATGATAACAATAAGGAAAAATTTAGTATTATTTTGCAAATTAAATGATCAGTCCTTATACATCTTTCCTAAATAACTATTTTCATTAAAAAATTCATAAATACAAAGACTAATAAGGTAGAACACTAAAGCAGGATTTTAGATCTGTTTGACAAAGAACTCTGATTAAAGTTAAAAACATTGATACTGATATTAAATTCTAATATTTGAATTAATTCTTAGTGAAGAAATTTTTAAATAATTCTAGTAAAACCTTAAATATTCAAAATCTATTATAAACTATTATGAATATAGTGAATAATGATCTGAGCATTATAATATCAAAACAGACTAAATAATTAATATAAAGAATATATTTTAAGTATTGCAGTGATTAAACAATAACAATAATAATAATTATTAGTGATTGTATTTTTTATTATATTACTTAATATTTTACACATTGAAATTATTAAAGTTTTCAGACTTCAGATCATTTAATATAATAGTCAGATCATCATTTTATAAATTTCTTTTTTTGAACTTCCAATTAAATTTATAAATATTTTTTATAATAATCAAATATTTATAAATTACCTAAACTACTTATATATATATATATATATTAAATATACATGTACTTTTTAAATAAAGTATTTTTCAATTACCTAATTCAGGAAATTTAAGGCATAGGACACTGACAAACTTTAAATATGTTTTTCCAAGCTCATAAACATTTACCTAAAAGAAACAAAAAGAATATTTTCAATTCTAAACTGTTAGCTATTTTCTTCTAAATATTTCTCTTACTGAATGATTTCACATTCACTAATAGTTTCAGCATATACAGTCAAACTCAATTAATGTCACACTGGTTATCATCACAGATTTTTATCCCCAGCCAACTCCCAAAAATAAATGATAGATTTTTCTCTGATTAATGTCACTCTGCCTATTAGCAAAATTCGGTTAACATCAAGGTAATTGTGTGCATGATGGATTTAAATATTCTATTTAATATCATAAAGTTCACAGCTATAAACAGGTCAGCAAAGTGTTATCAGTGCAGTCTATTGACATATTTTTTAATATAATTTAGAAATTTATAGCAAAATTTTTAACTTTTAAACAAGTATTCTTTAGTGGTTTTCTTGTCAAAAATGTGGTTTTTGAGAGTATCATAGCATTTTTCCGATTACACCGATTACACTGTATCCTCATTTGGTCATTCTTATCAATTAGAGTACACTGTAAAGATTAACTGTACTGTGTAATTCTCATTATAATAAAAAATAAATAATAGTTAAACATAAGCATGTTGATCTCGATTAAAATACTAAAATGAACATTCTGAAACAAGTTGGCAAAAATGTTGAGGAAAGACATTTTGGATAAATTTGGCAGTAATGTTTTAACTGAATTGAAAGTTGTTATAAACTGAATCAAAATTGAAAAAACTTTCATTATTTGATGGCTGCATCAGACTAATCAAATGTGGGTATTTTTATTTATTTGATTTTTACAATTACTGTACATGTAATTTCATACTTCATAATAATGTTAACTATTTTTTATGTATTTAAATTTAATGTGGCAAATGTGAGACATATATAGTAGGCCTTCATGACTGGTGCACTTAAAGCCTTTTCATCAAATCTGAAGCTCTCCTGTTGTATACCTTTTGCATGTTTTGACAGTTTCTTAGATGTGATAATAAATGGGTTTGGCTATATAAAAATTTAGGAAAAAACAGATACATTACTAACTTATACAATTTTAATTTCTGTTAAAAATAGATAGTCATACAGAATATGTTATTTGATTTAGGTCAGAGAAATATTCTAGGACAATCATCAATTTCATGTAAATATAAAATAATTTTCTCACAGAGACTATTCCCAAAATTAAAATTCTAGACACAAATCTAAATCATTTGAACATGTTAAAGATAAAAGGTAAAAAAATTATTATTAAATGTCAACACAAGAGATTTCTTTTCTTTTTATCAGTACTCTAATTTTATTATTTTAATAGAGTGCAGTGGTAATTTCTACTGTAATTTCATTATAAAATGCAATTTTATAAATGAAGACAATAAACTAAATTTTTTTTAGAATGGAAGCATTAATTGAGCAAATTTAAAAGATATGTAAAATGTTACAAGCATTTTAATTTGAATAAATTTTTTTATATTAGCAAGATAAATTCTGACATCATTTACATAGATACAATATTCATGCATTTTACAGTTTGCCATAGACAATTGCATTTACTGTGAGAAGATTATTATAATCTATAATAATACTTATAAAACTATTATATTATTTTTTTCTTATGTGTTAAAAATGTATGTTTTCAAAAGAACCTTTTTAGTGAAACAACCCTGCTAAAAGATAGAATTTAACTTGCTTTCTATATTTTGATCTCAAATACTACAAATTAAAAAAAAAAAAAAATCAAGCAACTTATTTTATCTTACTTATTAATACAAGGAATCTTAATGAAATAAATAGTCTACAGATTACAGACAAATGATTCATACCTTATAATTAAAACATTTCAATTAAATATGCATTCACAATATACATTTTTAACATATTAACTCAAAATATCCCATTGATATATGAAAAGGATATTTATTACTGATAATAAATTTATTCATAAAACAATACAAATATTTTCTCACCTGTAAAACATCACTTAAATCCAATAGCATATATGTATAAAATTAAGAAAAATAAAAAATTATATGTATATTTTTAAAATCATCATAATTATTTAAAATATGGTACAATAATATAGCCATCATATAACAAGCTTTTATTTAATTGAAATTCCTCAATAAAGTTTTATTAAATTTGAGGCTTCTCTTCATGGAGTTAGACATATCTCACTAATACAGTAGTTTAGGTACCAAATCACCACCATAAATCAAATATTGCCTTAAGTGAATCACAGTATTTTTTTCATTTGCCAGCGTGTATAAAAATGATTTACCCAATTATTTATTAAACTAAAGATGAATTATCAAAATTTGTTAAACCAATCTTTTTCACCTTACAAGATTAATTGAATAACCATTGTATTGAATGCATCACATTTTTCATCTTGATTTCTTGGGAGAAAAATATGCTATAAAATACATAATATAATAAAAATATATCACAATATAAGACATATTTGCACCTAATCACAGTATATATAAAATTTCCAGATAAATTTTAGGTACAAAAATGTGCATCTTATAAGGCAAAACATGCAGTAAATTTAAATTTGAAAACAAATACAGTCTTAGTCACCATTAAAACAGCAAGCCATCAAACTAATTTCTTTTTTATATTACTAATATCTTCTTTCTATATTTGTTAATTGTTTGGATTCTTCCAGTATGTTTTAGACAAATCAGTTGATTGCTGGGTTAAAATTAAAAGATAAACATTCCTGATTCATTCTGTTGCATTTCTATTTCATGTACTGTACAGTACATAATAATAGTCTTTCATATTGTAGATGACGAGTCAGAAGAGTTTAATTTTTCAACTCTAATTTATGAACACTTTCTTGTTTGCAAAAATTAATTCAATTAAAAATACTTAACTGGATCTTTCAAATTAAACTAATTTCATTTTTTACAGTTATAGTTTACTTTCTTAATAAATATATTTATAAAATAAGACTATACTAGAAGAACAGAAAAAGGATACGAGGAGTTCTTTCATTTCTGCATGCAATATAAATACATGCAGCAATAACATGAGAATTTTTTCGTCCTCTCGTCAATCGTCTAGCTAACACCATTTTGTAAATATTATAAGCAAGATCTATACATTGTTGATTTAGTCGAAGTTGCTCAGATAACTGGGTAATTCTTCTCCTGGCTAAACTCAAAATGAAAAATCTTAGTAAATACTTAATTAAAATTTGAAAAAATTTCTACATAATTAACTAATAGAAAAATAGACATACATAATAATATTAAATATTAAGCTATTTACAACTTAGTTTGTTTGAAAATAATAAAATGTTTTATATTTAGACAATTACTAATCAGTATTATTCAGTTATTCTTTCTATTTTTGAATTGAAAAGGTCAAGACAACAAGAGACCTAATTCTCATTAATTAAGAAATTTTTTGAGTAATTAAGAAAACAGTTGAGTTTTTGTCCAAATCCTGAAATCAAGTTTATACATTTGTAAAACTTTGCATTAAAAATACTTCATTGAATACTAATCTCCTAGAAGTGACAAATTTCATGTTAATTTAAAAAAACATTTACTTCTCGACAATGTAGTTTACAATGTTTTTAATACAAGTAATAATACAAACCTCTTAAAAAGAGTTTGTATTATTTGTAGATTTCTAAAAAGAAATCAGTTTTTCTCTTTGACAACATAATAAATTTAAAAAATATCAAGAATAAAGTGAAAATTATAGTTTTATAAAAAAAAATTATATTACCAACAAGATAACACCAACCTCACAATTATTAAACTAGTGCACTCTCATCAAGCCACAAGAAACCTTGTAAATAACAGATATTCTAAGAGCTTTAAGTGATTGTGCAATTTTTAACTTTAATTTTGAGTAGTGTGCCTTACTGCTTGGCACATGTCAGTCATTGAGGATGCACTATATCATCCCAAAGTTTGATCAAAATCACTGATTCAACATCGCATCAACAAGGGGATGCACTTCTAAGTTCTCATCTGGTTATATAATTATGTATATTACTTGGTGTTTTGTTGGTGTATATCCCTCTAGGATTTTCAATGAATTAACCAATTGAACCCTTGACAATAACCCACTGACTGTCCAGTCACCCACTTAAAGACATTGAAAACCAATAGAATATTTTCCTTTTTGTCTTCATTTTAGAAGGAAGAAAGTGTGGGATACTCCAGAAACATCTCTATTTATAAATAATGTTCCTGGTCAACAGAATGTTAAACGACTGTTACAAATCAATTTTTTTTTGTAAATTATAAAGTTTTTCATTTATTCAAGTTAAAAACTTTTTGTTTATTTACTTAAATAAAAATGACTGAATCTCAGGATTCAAAGTCTCTCAATGTTTGCAGACAAAAATAATTCATTTCAAAAATTAAGAGTGGAAAAACATGCAAAATGACAAAATTCAAAAATTTGAAATTAAGTCTTTTCAATAGTTGATCTCTTGTCTACAGTGTTTTTCTGTAAATGCCTCCTGAAAATGGATCTTTTTACAGGGTTCCTACTCAAATTTTTGTTTTGAATTCCCTGACTTTCCCTGACCAACTCTGTCCAAATTCTGACCCTCACATTTCTTAGTGTAGAAAATCGACATAATAAAACAGCATTTACTGTGAACATTGAGTACATCTATCCCTCTTTTTGCACAGTTGATATGTTTCAAAGACTGCCACATTAAAAAAATACAGTACATACATCCTGTAGAAAAATGTTTGATAGAATCCACAACTTCAATGTAATGAAAAAATAAGCAATTTACAAACAAAACATGAGCTTTTTATTTTATCATCATTTATCATTATTATTTGTATGTAAATCTAGTAAGTACAAGATAGCATAAAATCAACTAACAGTATTTTTTGATAAACAAATAGTACTGTACTGTGCTTAAAATGAACTCTTGACTTAGAAACACGTAATTTTAAAACCAATCTTTCAACAAAACGAGTAACTTTTTTTCTAAACAGCAACATAATTTTAACAAAAAGTTAAATTTAAAAATTTTTAAATAAAGCATTTTCTTACATGAAAAAATTAATGATCGTATATAAAGAGGAATAGGTGTAAGTTTATACTATAGCTTCTCTAACAAATGCATCTAATTTATTGTAAAATCTTTTTAGTTTTTTACAAAATGGACAATCAAAATACAGAGAAACTTCTTAGTATTTCCTTAGTAATTCCTTCTTCTTAGTAATTCCCTTTTTTCAAAATACAGATAATTAGAAAATAAAAAATTAATTACAATTCACAAAACACAAGAACTATTACATTAATGTAGTTTTAGCTTTTTCTCCTCAAATGTATTTATTTTCATTTCAATCTCTTTTTCTTCCTTTTCATGATCTTTTCTTAACATTTTTCTGGTGTTGTTTTAAATCCTTAAGTTGTTGTGTAAGTTTTCTTTTTTCTTCAGCCCTCAATGCCTGCTGCTTCTGAATATCTTTTTTCTGTTGCAGAGATGCAATATATTGCTGTCTATATCCTCTGACTGTTAACATTTTCTGGTCTATATTTATTTGATCAATACAAACCTGCAAAAGGGATCCCATCATAAACTAAGCATTGAACAACTAAATTTTCTTCCTTAAGATTTCCCTCAACAATGATTTGTTAACTGAGAAACCACTATCAACACTTGCATTCCCATGTGAGAAAGAGATAATTTGTTAATAGACCATAGATCTTGCAGTTGCCTATCATCCTTCATAATTTCACAATAAAATGTGTCCAGACCATCATCACCACGCCTTTCGGATATGAAGTCCTCAAACTTTGTAGAATAGGGTTTTATGGACAATTTATTGCAGAGTACAGGTAGCTCCCATATAACACGAACACAAGAGTTATGTTCCAAAAAATTGCCGTGTTATGCAAATCCATGTTATACGAAACAAAGAACTAGTATGAAAAGGGGAGTTAGGTTCCAAAAATTAAAAAACATGTTATTATATTTTCATAATTAAGATAAATATCTTTATTAAAATTTTCTTAAGAAGTGATACATATTAATATAAATTAAACAATGTTTTTTTTCGTCATCATTAAGCACTATTAACCAAGGGCGTTTTCTTTTTGGCAAGATATCCTTATCCTCTGAGAATTTTTCTGCATTATCTTCAGATCCATGCTCTACCTTTTGCAAAAAATATGTTATTTTAGATTGCTTACTTTTAGTTAAAAGATCTTTATAAATTTTCTTATATGGTGCTAAGCACTTATGATGAATAAAGCAAGTATGGAATAAGGGAAAGCATCTGGCAACACAAAAGCAAAAGCGTCAAGATCTGGCAACACTGAAACAACTTTCAAGAAGAACCATGTGAATCGACAAAAGGCGGAAAAGGAAAATTTACATACTTAAGCACTAATAGTCCACAAAAATTATGCAGGAAAATCTGATAGTACATGTGCACTCGAATGAAAAATGTCAAATGAGGTATCTTTCGCACTTAAAATCTTTATCACGTTTATTGTTTTATGGGGATTTCACTAAATTCAAATTAGATAAAGTTCACTTTTAATAGTTTTTATTACTGTACATTTCATGTTGTAGAGGGTTTTACCCAATACTCGAACCATGTTAGAGTGAATCTGTGCTATAGAAGTGCCGTGTTATACGGGGGTTACCTGTATATCATACTGTTCTTTTGCTTTGGCAGCACATTTCCATCAATCCTGCTTGTATCATGTAGAACCTCCAGTAAAACACTGAAATACAATTTTCCAACATTTGATTGCATTTTAATAATTTCTGGGTCTAAGCTGCTCAAGGCCTTCACACATTTGTACTTGACAGGTCCCTTCTCAATAATCTTTTGTGTCATCACTTTCAGCACATTTTGACAATCTCTTAGAAAACACAAAATATCTTTGATGCTTACTTTCAATTCTTTTAAAACCTTTTTTGCTCCAAAACCAATATCCAAATTCTTCAGAGATACCAAGTTTTCATTATCATTTAAATCTATTTTTAGAAACTGCTTGTCAGTGACCCTGTCATTTTTCACTAACTTTCTCATCAGGTTCATTAATAATTGAACAACTGCTTTATAAAGATAAGGTGCAAGAGGTTTGTTGCTCTGAAATTGAGTGAGAAAGCTCTCACTTTGTGTACATATTGACCAAAAAAATAAAAGTTTAACTTTAATAAAGGGATTATTGAATACCTGTCTCAAGAATGTAGCAACCTTGCTGTCTTTCAACTTTGTACTGTTGTTTATGTATGTCTTCACAGATTCAACAACTTCTGCTGCACATTCTAAGCACTCTCCATTCTCCAACCGGTTACCTTGTTGAACCAAATTTTTTGGGAAATAATCTGCTTCCACTTATAGCAATGTATTCAGCATGCCAAGTGGGTAAGTCTTTTAGCAAATAGTACAAATTCCGTAGCAGTGATAACAAATTCCAATCTACTTCTTTAAAACCAGCTTTTTGTAAAAGCTGGTTTTAAAGCACCATGCACCATGGACTACATGTTCCCATTCTCACAAATGATTTACCAACATTCCATGTCTCCATGTGATCTTCTAATTTATTCAGAAAACTTATGTTTACATTTAGTCTGTCCATACAGATATGAAGAATTTTTGCTAGATCAAGAGAATGTCTGAAAGCCCATTGAGAAATGCAGAGATCATCTGCTGTACTATGATCCAGAAAGACACTATTTAAATATCTGGTCATAACTTATCTTCACTCTTGTCCCAGTATTTTATCACAAGATCCATTTGAGTTCTTTGAGTAACTTTGTTTAGTGATTCGTCAAAGGAGATAGTAATATTATTGCAACTTGTAACAGCATTAATCAATTTTTCTCTGAAATAATGGGCTATGCCATAATTTATTATATAGGAAGTGTTATCTGGACCCAATTGAAATTGTGTGGCTATAGCACTGTCAGGGAACATTTTTTTTGAAAATGTTTTTAATATCAGAGCATGAATTGAGTGACATCTTTCTCTTTACAACTGCCAATGCCTAAGTTATCTCTGCTTTTATTACATCATCTTTTATCACAAAAGGTGTCAATGTGCCGCTAAGAAATGTTGATTTGGTGAGAGACTGTTCATTAGTGATCTTAGATCTATCTTCCACAACAGAAGCCGTTTCACACACATTTTGTTGACTATTAGAAGAGTTTGAATTTGTTGGGGGTTAAAAACCTTATCAGTGAAGTTTGTTCCGACTTCAATCTTTTTATTTCAACATGACTAGAACTATTTACATGTGATTCTAATGTATGCTTTCCCATATTACTTAATGAGAAAACTTTACAACAAATGCAGCAAAATGCTTTTGTATCATCATCTTTTACAATTCCTAACCAGGAATTGAATTCTGGATGAATAGCTGGATCCAACCATTGGAGATTAAACCTCGTTTGTTTCCATGCCATTATAATTTAAGAATGTAGAAAAACACAAACCTTGAATAATAATATTAAAAGACAGATGAACCAGATCAGATAGCAATGTGTAAGATGTTTTGTCACAACAGTATGTAAAATATTCAAATGACATACAATCCGCATCTGCATATATATTAATTAATAGTAGTGTTGCCAACTCAAAATTCAAATTTACAGCTTGTCTAGCTGTAAATTTTTATTAAATTACAGATTTTTACTGATCTATTTAGCTATTTTGAAGTGAACATTCTAATAAATTACAATTTCAACTTTTAAAAGTTTGCAAACAAATTTTTAATTAGTTATTTTTTATTTTAATTAACAATTTCATCTTTTTACAATCACTGAATTATTAAANGTGATACATATTAATATAAATTAAACAATGTTTTCTTCATCATCACTAAGCACTATTAACCAAGGGCAAGATATCCTTCCTATTTTCTTTTTGGCAAGATATCCTAATCCTCTGAGCATTTTTCTGCATTATCTTCAGATCCATGCTCTATCTTTTGCAAAAAATATATTTTAGATTGCTTGCTTTTAGTTAAAAGATCTTTATAAATTTTCTTATATGGCGCTAAGCACTTATGAAGTTATGGTGCTAACCGCTTATGAAGAATAAAGCAAGTATGGAATAAGGGAAAAACATCTGGCAACACCAAAATCAGAAGCGTGAAGATCTGGCAACACCGAAACAAGTTTTGAGAAGGACCACGTGTATCGACAGAAAGCTGGAAAAGAAAATTTATATACTTAAGTACTAATAGTTCACAAAAATAATAATTTTCGTGAACTATTAGTACTTCAGTATGTGAAAATTTATTATATTTTATGTTGTACGAAGGTTTTACCCAATTCTCGAATCATTTTATAATGAATCTGTGCTATAAAAGTACCGTGTTATACAGGGATGTTCCCAATTCTCAAACTATGTTAGAGTGAATCCGTGCTATAGAAGTGCCGTATTATACGGGGGTTACCTGTACAGAGTGTTGATATTAAAATATATAGTGTATATAAATTTTACAAATTCTTTCTTTTAATAATTGATCTATGGTTTCTTTTTGTTTTTAGTTACAATATTTAGTAGATAAATGAACAAAATTGGTTTAGATTAATCAGAGTTTGGATTTTTGAAATGGTATTGTATTATGCACTTTTGCTAATCTGTGCATTGTGTTTTATAATGGAAAATGGGCATTTACAATTTTATAGTGTGTTTAAAAATTTTTAAATTATTATTAAGAATTATATTCTTTACCTAGGAAAACTGAATAAATCTGATAGTTAATATTAAATATATTGATGTAATATATTACTTTTTTAATGAAAAAAATGAATCAAGGAAAAATGTTATTTTTCAAATTTTTTTTAAAAATTATTTTTCTAGTGTCAAAAGCCTGTTATTGCAGCTGTTCACAATGGATGCATTGGAGGTGGTGTCAATTTAATATGTGCTTGTGATATTCGTTACTGTACAGAAGATGCTTGGTTCAAAGTTAAAGTAAGTATTTGAATATACATGTTGTGGTAATGACAGCAATCTAAATTTACTAGTACTTAGCAGTTATAAATTTATTATATGATTCAACTAGAAATAAAAACTTAACCATTAATAAAACCATGCCATTCATTGAGATACTTTTCAATGTGTGTGATATGCATTGTATAGTTCACACAAAAATGGATGTAGGCAACAGGCTCTAAATAGGATATCATTAAAAATCTTCAATAAGTTATCTTGGTAAGAACCTTATTGTGCATCAAGTCTTTTGATAAACATACATAAACTGTTAAAACACCTGTTGATTATAGAAGTAAGCATGTGTATCTGATTTGGTTACTTTGGATAAAATTGATCACCATCTTTTGTATTGATGCTTTTTGATTATCATTGTAAATCTTATTTAGAAATTTTATATACAATATACAGTTATATATACAATTGTATATACATTCATTCTCAACTAGTAGTTTGGCAACTCTTATTTTTATATATATATATGTATGTATATTTACACATGTCTAAAAAATAAACATAACCATTAATGGCACCCTGGTTGAGGTGCATGCAGCCCAACTTCAGGCTGCCTGGCATGGTGTCATCATTGTAATTAGACCACTGAATTGCAAGAGGTATTGTTTATGGATGAATCCTGCTTCTATTTGTGGAAGAATGATGGCCATGGATGGATGTGGTGGGATATACCCCAGGGAATGCTAAATTCCAGTCCTTATTTCTGAGCATCACTCCAGCCCCACACCAGGGCATCATAGTTTGGGGAGGCATCATGTTTGATCAGCAGACAATCCTGGTGCACATATCTGGTACTCTGACTGCAGACCAGTAAGTCACACAAATTGTGGGGCCTGAGATTTGACCACTGGTGCAGGGTGCACCCAACATAATGTTCCAACAAGATAATGCCTGACCATGTCACATGGTGAATTCTCACCAGCCTGAATGGAATTCACATCCTTCTCTGGCCAGCAGCCTTGCCAGATCTCTCCCCCATCAAACACCTGTGGGTCCTCATCCGACATGAAGTGCATCAGTGTTCACCACCACGCTCTGTAGATGAAGTGCACACTGCAGTGGATGCAGCTTGGAAAGAGTTACTTCAGGCAACCATTAATTGCCTCAATGATAGTATGCCTTGCCATATAGCAGTCTGTATAGCTGCTCATGGAAGCCATATTTGTTACTGAATAAACATGTGTCTGTTACATAGCTTTGTTCTTTTAATCATTTGCATATCTGTCACCTCTACCAGTCCTGCAATGTTCATGTAGCTATGTGCATTCTTTTGTGGTGTTGCAATTTTTACTTTTTGAGGAGTGTATATTTGCTTTGTATATTTAATTATTTGTAATTTACTTCTCAACTACTTCTCAGGTTGAGAAAAATTCAAATTTTATAATGTCAATATTCATTTAAAATATTGCACCTTGAAATTATATACTCTGTATATATAGTTGTAAAGTGCTTTGTATATTTAATTGTATATGTATTGGTCAGTCATTGAGAATCATTCTATAAAGTTGATGCCAAAGTAATGGCACAGTACAAGATTTTAAAAAAGCACATTTATTAAGTCATCAAACCAATTCAACAAACTATTTTTCAGTGTAGTATATAGACTCCAGCTGATGATACAACTATTAGGTCCTAAGAATGATGCAGTTCCAAAAGTTGCAGGTGTCTGTCCAAAAAGGCAAATGTTAATTCCTGTGATCACAACAAGGTGAAATAATTATGAAACAAGAAAATTAAATATTTTATCCTTTCTGATAAAATAATTTTAATTAATGAAAGGAGAGTATTACGGGAAGGCAATTAATATTCCTAATTGTCAGAATAGGGAAAAATAGTCTTAAAATATGAATAGAAGTCTAAAGTTCATTAAACATCACTTAGAGTAGAAATGTGCTATTGAATTGCACATTGACAATTAACCTTTCTTGCAGCTCAAATCTGATCTTATTTCACTTAGTTACAAAGAAAACACCAATTGGAGAGTGATGAAAGTAAATTGGGACCAACCAAATTTACTTCAGAAACAAATTTTATAAAAGCCTGTATTTCAAGGACATGAGCAGAATCTTCTTCCCAAGTTTTCTCTGCGAGAACCCATCTTTTCTCTTGTCATCTTTGATCAGATTTCCAACTGTCTCATTGTCTGAAACTTGTTGACAATCATTTGAACCAATTGCACCAACTGAGCACCCAAGTTGGCTTTCTACTTATAAAGGATCTGTCAATCTAGAACTTTCTGAAGTATAACCAACTGGACTTTCCTGGACTTTCTTTCACAGTCTTGTTGAGGAAGAACCTCTGGAATATTCTGTAAGTTACTGTTGTATCTGTAAATAAATGGTTTATGTCAATACTTCTGATTTTGTCTCATTGTCCATAAAAGTCATGCATACATGACCACCCGTCTCAGTAACTGACTTGCTTTGGTCAGCAGTCTCAAAGACGATAACCTCATATGACACTATTCCATCAATCCATAAGTTTGTATATATCAGAATGATAGAAATTTTTGTCTTTGGTGTCAAAGTTTTGCATTCAATGCATTCAAACTTTGACAGCAGCTTCAATATCATGATTCAACAATGTGATTTTGAAGCTGTTTTCCATATAGAAAGTTGTTGAGAGAACAAAACAAGTGAAAATTGGATAGGGTAATGTTAGGAAAATATGGTGGATGTATAAGAATCTCCCAGCCAAACTGCTATTTTCTGTTGGATTTAAAGACCCAATAGAAAA